CGGAGGCCTCCACCTCTGTTTAATGATGGACGGTCTTTCTTCACAAAAATGGCTTCTTTTACTCCTCTTGTTTCCCCCTTGTATCATTTAAAAACATTTTTTGTTTGCCTTTGAACCGGCTCCTTAAAACCTCTTAAATAAACACATCTGTATCTGTATTAAAGGGATGTTTCATCCATTTCAATGTGGTAAACATTAAGAACGAGTTCTTTGAACCTCAGTTCGGAAAAAATGAAGTTTAATTTAGACCAGAGTGATGAGCTAATGACTAGTCTGAATGCAGCCCAGACCAAAGTGAATTGTTACCACCTTGAAAGTCTGGTGGGAAAAATGCTTTGAAAGGAAGTGTGTCGAGCTGGAGCCACATCCAGAGAGGATTACTGCTGAATAAAACAACCCAATCTTCAAAACTGAGTGTTTTTTAAATCCTTGACACAGATGTCAGTTTTGATATACACAATGATCTCAGCAGGGATATGAAATATCTGCCTTCATGCCATTATACTCTCAACCATGTCGTACTGTTTACCTGTTTGGTCTCTTACAACAAATGAAATCTTAGAACCCATAGTTAGGCTCTACAACAGGGCCTACAAAATTCATAAAAAACTTCCTGGTTGGACTCATCACTGTACAGTTCTTTCATTGTTTGATGCCTTTATTTAGCATGATATTTAGCAGATTTTACCCCAATTTGATGATTCATGATTATCATTCAGCAACAATAACTCCAGTTAACAAGAATTTTAAAGCTATAAGTTTACTTTGAGCTGAATTCACATTTATTGGCTTTAAATTAGAATTTTTCCTAAATGTGTATCATTAGAATGCCAATCAACTAAAAAGAACAAAAGTTCTTCTAAAAGCTGATGTAAAACACGCTGTTAAAGGTGTGCCTGGCTGCAGACTCTGTGCTGAATCTGCATGCTGTCTGTGTTTGCAGGTCAAACAGTGAAAGCAGGCTAACCGATCAAAGGAGTGGAACTGCATGGGCAGCATGGGATGCGTCTTCAGGGCGGGGTCCGGGTGATAGGGCGTCGGTCCAGACTCCTGGCCCAACTCGGCTCCATCAATAGGAGCTGCCACCAAGCTCTTCAGAATCTCCTGCATTTCAGAGAATGGGACCGTCTGGTGAAGTGCAAATCATGACTCTACAAATTCTGTTTAACCGCAGATTTCTGTGTTTATTATACTCTAAACCCTTTTTATTGCCTCTGACAGAGAACGGCACACAAAAAAAACAAGATAAACACATTTTGAGACCAATAAAAACTGGAAATGTTGAGGAAATGATGACAAACTTTAAGTGGAATGTAAAATTAAAGGCACATTTATATTTAATTTAGGAGATGCAAAGATAAAAATACAAATCTCTAAATTCTAAACATACATTCATATTAAATTCTATGTGATAGCAGATACATATCATTTTTACACATTTCTGACAGGATTCCACCCACCTACCTTAACATTGATGCCTTTGTTTGTTTGGCTGATGCTGGAGATGGAAGAGGGCGGGGCTTGGCCGGAGCCCGGAGTGGACCTGGGGTTGTGCGGCGAATCCAGAAGGCTCTCCTGCGACCTCTGCACATCTGACGACAGACTGCACAGCAGGTCCGTGCTTCCTGCCCCGCTTCCCGCCCCTCCGTTGTCCCTGTCCCGGTCTCTGTCCGTCTCTCGCCCCACCAGACCCAAGCCGAGCCCCAGACCCATCTCGGAGCCATTCAGGGACCCGGCAACGTGTCCCTCCTCGCCGATGCCGGAGTCCGTGTGGGGGAGGCCGGCCAAGGGGGAGTCATCCACCGGGGTGGGGGTCTGTTTGTCGCGATCAGAGAAGGCGTTGGACGGGTGCTCTGATGGAATGAGGAAATAAACAATAAAATGTGTTGTTTTATAAATATTTATCTGCTGATACATACAGGTGCTGGTCATAAAATTAGAATATCATGAAAAAGTAGATTTATTTCAGTAATTCCATTTAAAAA